TTATTTTATTATTCATTCAAAATATGTCCCCAGCACACACATAATTCACCATAACCAGTTACTGATGAACAAATTTGGAAGAATTTTGTGTTTAACGAGGAAATGACTTCAAAAATGCAGCCTTTTACAGGTTAATGCACCGTTAACCGAAAAGACCTGGGGACGAGATTGAGTTGTTTTCGTTGTAAAAACTAAAATAGAGGACACTTCACTCGATTCAAGAGTAAGAACTACACACAACCGACTACAGCTGGAACTAGGCGAAATAATGGCTAAAAACATAGCAAAAACAGCAAGTTGTTTTGAGTGAATAATAAAACAATCATTGAATTCGGCTTTCGTATCGTATGAAGATTATGGAGATCTCGGAGGGTGTTATCCGCCTTGGCCTACGGCCTCGACGGATAACACCCTCCTCGATCTCCATAATTCTTCATAAGATACTCAGCCTCATTCATTAATAGATAAATATTAGACATCTCAGCAGTAATAGACCTCTTTAGCTTGTATGTTTTGTTTTGTTTTGTTTTTTTTTAATTCAGGTCAGGTAAGAATACTCTAGAGAACTGTTTCTTTCAATTTCGTCTTATTGGCGTGCATATTTAAGCATAATTTATGAAAAGATAAAGGGCCAAGTTCTCCTGGGACCCCTATAGCTCACTTTGGAAAACAGTGATAGCCTGGGACCCAAACTAAGCGCTCGTTCATTTATGGGGTTGTTTGGGGGGACACATTTTCATATTTTTTTTCTTTCAATTCCGCCTTCCGTTTGCTATTTTGAGCTGTTTTAACCCGCTGAAACATTCCACTTCGCTTTCCGCGCTTTCCGCCATGTTTGTTTACATTCCCGTCCCCCCAAATAATCCCATAAATGCGCGCGCGCCTAGTTTGGGTCGAAGGCTTTTTCCGAAGTGAGCTATTGGGAAAACAAAACCTACAGGCTAAAGAGGTTTAGTAAAATCCAACTAGTGGTCTATTATCAATGCTGCGTTCTGATTGGGTGAGCTACTACTAGGCTATATGTTATAGCCCCCTAGTAGCGAAAAGCGCGGGCTTTTGGACGGCAAAAAAGGATTAAAGTCTAGCTTTAACTAGCTAATTTTTTTTAATTCCGATATTTTTGACCAACTAGTTGGATTTTACTAAACAATTACTCCTCTCGCCCTCATGGCCTCTGAGTCAATAGCCCATTCGGCCTTCGGCCTCATGGGCTATTGACTCACAGCCCATTCGGGCTCAAGGAATAATTGTTAATTACTTGTATCACCAGTACAGCGGAGAGAATATAAATTAGCACTTTATACAAGAAATGCCTGCTAGGCCATTAGACACACATTATGACTGTAAGTCTTTTCCCATTACTGTTAGTTTGGATTGACTTTTGCTAACAAACTAACATGTACTTCCTTGCTTTAAATTATTTGAAAAAATTAAAGGGGGACAACTTGGAAAAAGCTATTTCTGGTTTCCTTGGTATTCCGGTCCCTCTTATGCCAAAAATGCTAATACAACATTGTAACAAAAAGTAACAAAAATAAATCGTTCATGCTTTCAAATGTAATATTTAGTCTAGGTAGTTCCTCAGCGGGGTTTTTTTTTTTACTAAATACGGTCAGGTGCGTTAAAGTTTTTAAGTCTGTCAAATCAAACCGCATATTATTCTTTCTGGACCAATTAAGCTTTTCTTTGAAGCTATTATTAAGATGGTAATTTGCAACATCAGCGGGGACAGATCGTTCCACTGGTACCTCGTTTATCAAATTTTGGCTAATCCTGACAGAATAACAGACGTAATGCTGTTCCAGAAAATTAAGAGTCTGAATGGGGGGTACCTCGATAACACTAAACACTTATTATTAATTTTCTGGCTCTGTAACATAAAAAAGTTAAATTTTAGGCATTTTAACACCAACAGTAAAAAATTCACTGTAACAATAGTTTTTTTTTTTCAGAGAGAAACAAAACGGCTCCAGAAAAACCAATACTATTTTGTCTAGTATTTCAAGGAGTTTTCGGCTATTTGTCCGAAGACTACCGAAGGTGTCGGAAGGCTGTCGAAGATGTCCAAAGACAACAAAACATTTACGAGGAGAAATCTGATAATTTTCCAAGAGCACGTAAGAATTACCAATGTTCTATTTATTTATTTATTTATTTATTTATGTATTTTTCACGAAAAACCCTGCAAACACTAACAGTTGTTTCCCCAGAAACAGCAATCATTAAAAAATTGGCCAATTTAACAGCAAACTCATGGGCAACTAACACCAAACACTAAACCCCATTCAGACCCTCCCAAAACAATGAAACGGCGGCAATGTAGTTGTTCCATTGTGGGTTAAAGTCTTTTCTAAGGTAAACGCTTACTTTAGTTTCCATACATTTGCATACTTGCTGGCCATCAATTTTCGTAATGGACGTTTTCCAGCTAAAACAAGAATTTACAAACACAATTAGTAATAGATTCACGTTGTGTTTTTATCGTTAACTGAGCGGTCAGAAAGAATTTTGTTTTTGGTTTCTAGGTAATAAAGGGAAAAAATTGAAAGCTAATACAACAGGAATATCAAGAAATTATAAGTTAAATTTGGTTTGGGTTTTACGTGAAAATTTGCCATGACCAACGAAACTGAAGAAGATAAATAACCACCACTCACGACTGCATTCTATTGGTTGTATTCTGGAATCACTAACACCAATATCGCGGGGAATGTTTCACGGAAAAGCGTATGTAAGAGCTTTGGAGAAAACTCATTTAATCGCGACGAAATTTCCCTATGAAAATTTCGGTCAGTTGTGAGAAAATAACGGAAGAAGTGAAATAAGGAGATTTCCATTTAATTATCCGTTTTCATGCAGGAGAGGATATCTATGCATTAAAATTCCTTTTCAGCTTTGTTCAACTATAATTAGACTAAAAAATTCTCTCAAATGTATTTAAGTTTTAGGAAACCATACTTTTTTTGCAAGTAGATGACGGATGGCCTAATCTCAAGGAAAAATGAAACAGAAAACACGTCGAATTTGCTAGGTAACCGCGAATTTATCCTAAAGTAAAGTCATGACGTACCCACGACTAGTCAACACGCTTCTGATTTCCCTCGCCCTTTTGCGATTTTTAAGGAAAACGTTCGTGTTTTTCAGGAAAACGGTCATATACTCTAAGATGTTCAGAATCGTTCCGCATTACTGAATCTACTTCCTCTCTTTGTTTCATTTTTTTACAGACCTACAAAATGTGCTTTTAATTTTTTTTGTTATCAATCCCAGACACATACATATTTTTTTATTTTTCCAAAAGAAAAATCGTTTGTTTTATGAAAACAGGTACATAGAAACACACACTAACACTAACCTTTACTGTTCAAAATCTAAAGTTACATCATCACCAATCAGCGTAAAAGGTGCCCATTGCCGCACATTAGGGAAGTTATTTTCTCTCATCCACTTCATAGCCTTGTGGAGAGATTCACTGGCACTTTCCCCACGAACAAGGTGCTCGTAGAAACGACTCATGAACTGCAATGTCTCTTCGTCGTCTATGGCCCAGAGGGTTACCAACACTGAGCGGGCACCGGACCCTAAAAAAGCTCGAGCAATTCCAACCACTCCCTCAGCTTTTATCTTTCCACGTGCGCTGTGACAACAGCTAAGGACTACCAGTTTGGCTCGAAGTCGAATTTGTGAAATATCCGTCATTGTTAACAAATAGTCTTCTTCCTGCGGAGTCCCTGTGGTGGGGCGCGGAGGAGCCAAAACAATTTCTCCTCTTTCAGCATTGCCATGGGCAGCGAAATGAACCAGGCCTACTGAATTTATCCTTTGAACTACCGCCTGTTTTGTTGCTTGTTGTCCTAACAAAGGCTCAGCTCCGAGCAGTTGTCCAATCAAATGTGCTTCCTCTGCTGCGCTAGGTAATCTGATCGGGTTACAAACAGCTCCCTTGTACAATACGGGACCGACATCAGGATCCCCCACGATCAGTGCCCCAGACTTACTGTGATACTCTACTGGACTGTCTTGAATGAGTTTAAGAGTCATCAACGAAGGTACGATGCGGATTCTGAATCTCTCGGACAAGTATTCTCCATTTTCATCCTTTAATGCTGCAAACGGAATTTCATAGAGGGAACGATCAGGAACAATGAGAATTTCGGGTTCGTTGAGGAATTTAACCACAGGAGTAACCAGCATTCTGTAGTAAAGCTCAAGACTCACTTCCAGATCTTGGATTTTGTCTGTCGGGTCCTCTTCTGGGCATGATTCGCTTGTCCAGCGGCTAACATTTGAGGCTGGTAACCATGATCGGTCTTCACAAGTTTGCTGATCCGATACCTTAAACTTTCTGATTAAGGTTTTACTGGTAAGTACTTCGTCAACACTTCGTTCCATTGCTTTGTCGAGAAGGCAGTCGTTCACATCTATTCTTCGGAAGACAATGGGTTTGTATGCCTTAAGAACCCACAGAAAAAGAAATTGTCCAAAGTATGAAAGGTATAAACAAACGGAGCTTTCTCTTTCCATGACCTTTTCAATACCAACACGTGTCTGTGGACTGACTGGTATTTCCTTCTCCACAGAGTACTGAGCTGACATCAAGTCCCTCAGCGCTCTGGCTCGCCCAAGCTCCACAACGTGGAGAGCATCAGAAGTTTTCCCAGCATCGCAAAACAGTTTACTGAGTAGTTGATAGGAAAGAGCGTGCTCTTCAAGAAAGGCTATCTTGAACTGGTCACTGTTACCAAGAAATCCCAGAAGATTTTCGTTTTCATGGATACTAGCATAGAGATTAGAAAAGGCTTCTTGTGTGTCTCCTTTAGCCAGAATGTCTAATGCTAGGTAAAAGTGCCATTCGCACTGTCCTCTGATGTCCCTAATCTCTTTGCAAATTGAAAGAGCCTTATTGTGATATTCGCAGGCCTTGCTATATTCCCCCAAATCTCGAAACACATTTCCCAGGTTTCCTTGATCGGTTGCTTCCCCTCCTTTATCGCTGATTTCTTTTCTGATCGAAAGGGCGAGCTCGTAATATCCCTGTGCCTTAGCATAGTCGCCCGTAGAGTAGAAAAGCGTTCCCAGATTTCCGTAATCATCTGCTTCTCCTTTTTTGTCGCCAATTTTCTTTCTTAACGCAAGAGCTTTTTCGTGGTATTTTATGGCTTTGGCAAACTCTCCAAGAGATTGAAACACGGCTCCCAAGTTACCATAGTTTGTCGCTTCTCCTTTTTCGTTACCCATATCTTTGCAGATCGCAAGAGCTTTCTGGGAATAATCTTCAGCCTTGGCATATTCGCCGATGGAGTGAAACACAGTTGCCAGGTTTCCATAACACGATGCTTCTCCATTTTTGTCGCACATTTCTTCCATAATCTGTAATGCATTCTGAAGATATCCTTCAGCCTTCGCGTATTCACCAAGAGATTGGAAAACGGATGCAAAATTTCCATACACCATGCCTTCTCCTTTTCTGTCACCCGTTTCTTTCTTGATAAAAAGCGCGTTCAGAAAATATTCCTTAGCTTTAAGATATTCACAAAGCGACATAGATAAAACTCCAAGGTCTGCGTAAAGTGCTGCTACTTCTTTTTTCTCGCCCAAATTTTTCTTGATCGCAAGCGCTCTCTGGAGATACTTTTCAGCTTCGTCAAATTTTCTGACCGATTGAGAGAGGGTTCCTAGGTTTCTGTAACAGGAGCTTTCTCTGTCTCTGTCGCCCATTTGTATTGCAATGGTAAGTGACTTATTGTGGCAATCTTCAGCCTTACCATATTCACCGAGTGACGCATAAACAGAACCCAGGTGTCCGAAATAACAGGCTTCTCCTTCTCTATCGCCGATTTCTCTTGCAATCTTAATTGCTTGTTGAAGATGTTTTTCAGCTTTTAGAAATTTACCGAGGGACTGACAGACATTTGCTAACATCCCAAGACAAGCAGCCTCTCCGTCTCTGTCGGAGATTTCTTCTGCAATGGCGAGTCCCTTTTGAAGATATTCTTCAGCCTTGGCATAATCTCCCTGAGTTTCAAAAAGACTGCCTAAGCATCCATAGCAAGTTTCTTCTCCTTGATTATCGCCAGTCTCTTTCATGATGTTGAGTGCTTCTTCATAGAAGTCTTTCGCCTCTTGGTATTTACTTTGGCGTTCAAACAATTCCGCCAGGTTAAAGTTCAAGGTACCTTCCATTTCTCTCTGTCTAGTTTCACGAAGGTAGACCAGGAGCTCTTTACCACTCTCCAAGGCACTTGCATCATCACCGTCACGAAGATGAGCATTGAATATTTGAAAATATAGATCCGTTTTATACTTGACGAGATTCATTTGCTTTTCCACAGCCTTGTTGTTTAGAAGAACCAAACATTCCTTGAATACTTCAATAGCTCTTTGAATACTAAAGGTGTTGAGAAGGTAATGGGCAACTCCAATGCCTATAAGGACAGCTAGTAGAATCTCGTCTACGTTATCCATGACGACCCTTTCTAGAAAGGACACAAAGAACGTCAGATGAACAGAATAATAAACTGGTTGGCGCTAAACGAGTCAATCTAATCGAAACATTGGATACGTACATTTCAAAGAATTGAACGGCAAAACTATGCACGGCTATGAACCCACATGATTTTCCGCTTTAACTGTCAAGGAACTAGTTTGGTGGACTTAAGAATTTGCTTGCAAATCGGAGACATTGTATGACTCGGTTCTGAGTAGCGTCAACTCAGTAAGGGACTTGTCAGAAATTAGCAGGGGGGAGGGGGGTGGAAACAGAGGGAGGGTCAAAACTTTTTGAGACCGCAGAAAAGGGAGGGGTCATGAAAAATGGGCCGTTAAAAGGGGGAGGGTCATGCAAATATGTGTCCGTGATCATGTAGAGGTTCACCCACAGACGAAAAAAGAAGTTCTTTATTTTGTTAAAAAACCTGGGAGAAATAGGAGAGTCGAGTGATCAGTTGTCAGAGTCAGAGTCGGACTCTTAATGCTGTCATCTAAAATGTATGTATATGGCATTACAAAGAACAGATTAGAAATATATCTTGAGCTTTCATAATACTGACTCACGCTAGTGTATTGCAAGAACTAGATTTTACCATTTATACAAGAGGGGGAGGGTCATGATATTTTAGGCCAAGGTCAAGGGGAGGGTTAGCAAATTTCACTCCCATTGCAGGGATGGGTCACCTCATTTCCGAACCCAGATTCAAAATTCCCACCCCCCCTCCCCCCCTGGTAATTTCTGACAAGTCCCTAAGACAAATCTTGAAGGGTAAAGCGGAATATTAGGGTGTTCATTATTATTCCATTATCCACTGTCAAAATCTTTTGCAGGGTTATTCCATTATTACTGGCAACTAAAAAGGCCATCAGTCAATTAACTCAACCTAAACATTTCCATTATTCCGTTGTCTCACCCCTAAAAAGGGCATTATTCCATTCCTTGGCCATGGGTCTAAATGCCCTTGATTAGTAGGCGAAACTGAGTACACACTGATGAAAATGTCGTTATTCTGGTTCGATTATTCCTCTGCAGGCCCCGAATAAGTCATATTGACGCGCCTACGATAGCCAGCTATAGCTTGCGAGCCTACATTCGAATGTATTTTTAAAAGGTTTTAACAATTAGATGACTTTGCTGGTGCATATGAGGTCAGGTGGATTCATACACTAACTGTTTTGGTGCTGCTCTAACAGTGCATTATACTCTAACCCTCAGTCAGTCCAATAAGGGTGGAATACAAGTCACCGCCAAGCAAGGCTCAAGGAACTATGTGGCGTTTTTTTAGCTTGAGACGAAATGGTGGAGGGTAATTTACTCATATCATTCTAAAAGTCTTTCAATGCTTTCCGGGTTAAACAAACAAAACTAAAGATAAACATATTACGTTATGTTCAAAAATCACATCAAACAACTGGATTTTCGCCCGGCAGACAATAAGTTTTTCCTTTTTTCTTGGTTATCCAGTGCGGTCCTGGTTTTGTAGCTTTTTGTCAACGGCCATCGCTGCTGAGTTTCGCTACGATCATCAGATAGTTTTCAACTATATACATAATTAATTTGCATATGTAAAGCGTATTTTTGCTGATTGAAAGTATACTGCATTTATAACCAAGGGAAGAACACCTTTCTGCCTTTCTATCAAACACTGCACTTTTGTTCTCTTTAATTAATGTTCAGCGTGTTTCAATATAAGTATACACTATGGCCAAATGTACTTCCGCTATCGTTTTCTTCTTTCATGGAACCGCAACTGAAACTACAGCCCGTAAAATAATTAAGCAAACGTTCGAATGTGTCTTTGTTAGTTATAAAACCGTATATACAAAACGTTAAGTACTAAAAAGTTCTAAATAGAAAGGACAAGTGCCTTAACATACAAGATCAATCGGTTGCTTTGTACTTACCGCGACGCAACTCGCTTTCCAAACTGAGTGCCTTCGAGAAATGAATTGCATGACGTCATATGTTGAATTTTACATCAGCTTGGTCACGCTATGCTCGCATGCTAAGTAACTGGACAGTAGCTTGTCTTAACGCGTGCTTTCACAAGAGAGTGGCACTTGAATGATTGGATTCCTTGTTCGTTACGTTAGCCTGTACACAGTCGTTGTTTTATTTTTCTTTTCGTTCTTTTCGAAAACATCGGCGAGCGCGCGAGAGCGAGCAGAGCGAAGAGCGAGAACGAGCGCGGAGGCGGCGAGAAAGAAAAAGAAATTAAGACCCTGTTTACATGGAGTGGGGGACACCGGTCTAGTGGATAGGTTTCTTTTGTTTTGTGTCCCCCAACGCGTGAAAACAAAAGAAACCAACCCCACTCGACCGGGGTCCCCCACTCCATGTAAACAGGCCCTAAGTCTATTTTCTTCTTCCCCCACCCATACCCCCTTGCGCTGGTGGTCAATAAATCCCCCGCGTTTTTTTCTCACGCGCGCTGGACTCTGATGAGAAAATAGAGGGTCTGTGAACAGGCTATCGTTACGTTGGAGCAATAAAACAGGATTTTTGAACACGCTACCACCAAATAGACCTCTTCCGTCAAGCTTTCTTTTTTAGCCAAAAACCTATATCGAAAGTAGCCAATAGATAAAAACTAGGAGACCAACCATTGTTTTTTTCTTCTTTTCCTCCTTTCTTCCTCCTCGCCCTTTCTATTTTTGCTTTCCTTTCCTTTCCTAGTATGATTTTCGAGCTTATCGGGTGCGAGAAACCCCTGCCTTTTGGCCCTTTTTCTCTCCAATGGCTACATTTGCTAGTTTCGTTTCCAAAAAATGGGCTCAGATATCTAAATAAATATTTGAGACGATTTTGTCCTTTATTTCGAAATGCCATGCGTTGGGCAATAATTTTTGTTCAGCCAACTATCGGTGAATTTTTTTTTCTGGATTACAAGATTCTTTTTTTTTCAAGGTAAAACGGCTTGCAACTTTTATAGACAGTTGTCTTTGGGGAGAATTTTTTTGGAAATTGTCCCCCTCTCCCTCCAATAGACCTTTCCCACATTCAGTTGGGTTCAGTCCAGTTTATTGCTTTGTCATAAGTTGTACAAAAGAAGCCCAAGAGAAGCCACCGGGCTTATATGGAATGGGCTCCCTCATTTGAGTAATAAGAACAAAAATATCATCATAATTACACATGGAAAAATCAATGCTCCAGTGAGCAAACACATAGAAATGAGGACGAGGCTCAAGTGGACAGTTTCGTACAAATCACTGTATTTTGTCCACCTGAACCTTGAGTTGGTGCCTTCGCAGAGGTTTCGAATTGATTGGCCCATTATTTGAACTACAGTATCATTGCTATTTTCTTTATAGGGGTAACATATTATTACTAGTGATCAGGTAGATTTAATGTGGCCCACAAACATGGAAAAAAAAAAAACATTGCAAATTTATTAATCATAGCGAGTAAGAATTTGAACTGTTTCTTTGTGGCAAAATAGTTGGCTATTTACAAGCATGACCGAGGAGTAGTCCTTTAGGTTACCAAGAAGGAACTACCTTTGTTAATTTTCCATAACAAAGTTACATTCTAATGGTCATACCACATGGCAAGTGTCAATGATTTCGAAAGCCATTTCTCAAGTTAATTTGTAATGTACACATATGAAGAGAAACCAAAGGAATCTACCACTACAATGATGCAGGTTTTGATATTTAGTACACCATAAGTTAATTTTAAAAAGACTTTATCAAGCACTCGACATACCAGTAAATCCATTGTCCACACACATTCAGATTAGTCTAAAAACTTCTCAGCTCGACAATACAAGACCGCAGCCTTGAGTGACATTATAAAAGTGGTGTTGTATGCTTACTATTATTTGTTGGTAAAAATCTTATTTTTACTATGCCCAAAGTAAATTTATTGGCATAAAAATTCTGTTCTTCAGCACAGTTTTGATTTATTCATGTGCTACTAGTATCAACTGGCAAGTTCCTCTTCCAGAGACTTGAAGAGAGAACTACATCAGATTCACTCTCTCTGTCTCCATTGGTTCTAGGGATGAAAAGGTTTCTTATTTCCTTAAGACGGACAAGGACCACCATCCATGACTGAAGTTTCCATGGTTGCCATGCCTACATTCACTTTCCTTCTTTTCTTGAACAATTTTTGCCGCATCTTTTACAACAAGTCATTTCATTTATATCATTTCTTTTTATTTCTTTCATGATCTGGTCATTTCTCGCCCAACATCTTTCACAGTTTTCTCTGAAGACAGTTCAGCTTTTGCAGCAAGTTCAGCTGTCCGTTGTTTCACATAATCCTCATCCTCCGGCCTAATTTTTAGCAATTTTCCTTTCTGTTCATGCACCCACTTTCGGATCTAAAAAGGGGGAAAAAAGAAGAGAAAACTGCTCAGTAGCTTTCATTTCAATGGTTTCACTTTAAGATTTCATCCACAGACTTTTAAGTTAGAACCATCTTGTACAGAATATAATAATAAACAATACCACATGAAAGTGCTGCTCAGTAGCTTTCGTTTAAATGGTCCCACTTTGGGATCTCATTCACACACTCAAAAGTAAGAGCCATATTGAACAGCACAATAAACAGTACCACAGGAAAGTACTGCTCAGTAGCTTTCATTTCAATAGTCACACTAAAGGAGCATATTACTATCTTCCCATAATACATTGTGTTCAAACTATATTATCAAATGGCCAAATCCCAGTGTGACTCACACTTAAGGTTTGCATCCAGAGACACAAAAGCGACAACTGCCTTACAAAGCCTAATAAACTGTACCAGGGGAAAGTACTGATTAGTATCTTTCATTTGAATGATCCCAGTTTAGGATATTATCCACTTAAGCGTAAAAGTTAGAGTTATGATCTTGTACTAACAGTACAATGTATGAGAAACAGTACCTCAGGAAAATACTGACCGATAGCATTCATTTGAATGGTTACACTTAAGGACTTTAGACTTCATCTTAAGGCTTAACCCTTGGATGTAGACACAAATTCATACCCCCACCGTGGTACAAGGGGGGGGGGGGTGGATGAAACCCCTCCCCGGAGTGTTTGATATTTTGCAGGATTTTGAAAAGGTTTTACCTTTAGTGGAAAGCCTTTGATCTTCTTAACTAGATGAAGTATATTTTAGGGGTGGTGGCACTGCTGGAGGCCTGTGACGTCACCAACAATGGTTGCCATATTGGCCGCCATCTTGGATTTTACCAAAAATTAGAAATCAGGTTAAAACCGCAAGAAATGGTAATTTTTTGTGCTTTACATGAAAAATAACAGATAAGCACTGTGCATGATTTTAGCTACAAGATTTACTTTTATTCCTGAAAGAAGTTGAAAAAACATGTATTTTCACCCAAAATAGGCTTTTACCACCTGTTACGTATGACATCATATCTCATAACCATAGCAACTGACCATCACTAAACTTGCCTCAAAATGTGCACGAGGGATGAATGAACAGCTACTGAAAACGTCGGGTACTGATTTTTTATCCTCTAGGATAAAACTCAGAAAAACATTATGCCACCCCCCCCTTGTACGTCCGAGGGTTAAAAGGTAAAATCAGCTTGTACAGCTAAATAAACAGTACCACACGAAAGGACAGTTCAGTAGCTTTCCCTAGAATGGGCACATTTTAGGATTATACAGTCATGATCAATGCTCAACATGCTGCTAATAAAGGATGGAGACATACTGATGGTAACACTTTCTTCACTGGTGACAGTGTGTGATGACAATCCAAGTTAACTTGTGAATCAATGCATCATTTGTGGGCTACTCAAGGTTTACTTACTGGTAAGAAAATGTGGTCTCCTTTATACTCTGGAACAAATATGCAATACCAGCAAGCTCCTGTCAAATGATCACACATAAAATAATAGTTTTCAAGTATAACCAAAAGGTGTTTACTCAAGTTACAAGGACTTAGCTAATGATAGAGGAGACAACATGCATCATGCAGCCAGACCCCTTTCTGTCCTTGGGACCTTGTTGCCTTCCATTTGTACTATAATCACTCTTTCTTGTCTGTCAAAACTTTCCCCAGTCTCCACTCCCTTCCACCATGGTCTTTCTCCTCACTCCACTTCAATCCCCCTCCCTTTTCCTTTCCGCTGACTAATTGTATACCACTGTGAAAGGCTCTTCATGGGGTTTTCCTGTATATTTTGTATAAAATGAATAAATGATGATGGTGATGATGATGATGATGATGATAATGATGATATGATGATACAGTTGGGTCTTTCACTATGGAGGCCCAAACACAACTTACAACCCACCTTCCTACTCGTTATATCCTCTATGGTTACCGGCTGTGGGGGCTTCAACAGTTCCGGGGGGTACCAAAACCGTGTTAAAGGGGATAAGAGGAATGTTAGCCAGTTAAATCGCCACAATAACACTTGGCCAGGGAATGTAAGAGAAATGTCAAATCAGCTATTGATACACGACTGTCCATTCCTAAAACATTTAGGCCAGGGAATCCTTATTTTTCCACATTTTTTCACAGACTTTAGACTCATGATAATTTCGTCTTCACTTACCAACAGTAGCGATAACAGTGAAAATTTTGAAAGCTCGCTGGTTGTTTGGAAAAATCAACGGCTTCATGAGCTCGCTTCTATTTGGCATTCCCGGTATTTCTGGAAAATGATCGCGGGGCTTCCGACCTCTCCTCCAGCCATCCGCCATCTTGAAACGTTGTTGATACCAAGCCCCTCTCCGTTCCCTACGCAGTTTCAAGGCGAGGCTCGAGGCCTTGTTTTCCCGCCAGATTTAATTGATTTTGCAAGGACCCTGTTCAGCGATCGAGGTAAGGTGTCTGTAACCTTAAAATAACATTTTAAAAACGTTTTTGAAGACTATTTGCAGTCCTTATACCGTTTTTAACGTTTTCTGCCCATAAAAGTTATCTTTCGGACGATGGAGGGCTTGCATCGATCATAGATAATACATCGATCGATCATAGCGCGCGTCAAAATCTCAGAAATCTATGGATTTGTATTTCGTAATTAAGTTCTTGTAATTGTACAAATACCTGCAATCATTTGGGGTGATGTGCTCAGTAATTGAATTCATTTTCTTTACCTCATTTTAACCTTCTATGTGCCAAAACGTTAGGCAAATCTGTTCAGGGTTATGTGTTTCTGGTGTTCGCTAGTGTAATTTTGTTTCCCTTGGAGCAACCGTGTGGGGACTAGGCCCAAGTGGTGCCTTGGTATGAGAACCACAGTACATGTGGGAGTCAGTCATGCGTCAAATGCACCAGAAAGTCAGTCTTATGTCAAATGCACCAAAAAGTAATCATCTTACATTAAAATAATGTAAGTTGATTATTTGGAACTTTCCTAAGATATGGACAAGCTTGGGACCAAAAAGTGTCAACTGCTCAGGTTTGTATGCTGTTGTGGACTTGGGAAGTACTTCCTGATAAAAAGGGATCCTCATCAAAATTTTTTAAGAATGCAGCTAAAACTAATTCATTTTCACCCCTATCAAGTGTCAATTTTTTATTCTGAAACAAAACATTGACCAGCACTAATTTTCAATACTGTAAAAAATATTCAGATGACTAACAGATACAGAGGTTCCTTAGATCCCCTTAACACAAAAAAAGCAATAATTGTAACAGCAATCATTTTAGAATTTACCAGTAGCATTTTATGCAGAAATAATCCATATTTTCACCCCCTAAAAGGTATGTGAGATTTATCTGTTACAGGTCAAATTTGGTTTGAGGTTAAATTTTTTTGCCTAGGTTGATTCTCTATTTTTTGTCTCCCAGGGCTTGAAGTCAAGGGAAATTGGGAACCAACCTTATTTTCTGCTGGGTTAAATCAAATTAACCTGAAATAAAATTATTGTACCTGTTTCATATCCATGAGCAGGGGTTAATTGTAACAGTACTTTGTTTGAAGTTTCTGACAAACAGTTGGTGGAAAGATTGCCAGGTCTAAATAATACAGGTCACATCCTCAAATATCAAAATAAATTTGGTACTGTTGTCAGTCGTGTTGACCAGCCAAAGAAATTTTAACTCGGTCACGTCTTCCTTCTGACTGGTCAAAATGTTAAAAATAGTCCAATAGTAAATTGAATGTACCAGCCTAACAAGCAGAAACATAAAGCAAAAAAAAGATGCTTGTCCTCCTGAAACGTAATGGTGTAAAAATGTAGTTTTTCTTTTAGGGAGTTTAAGCAACAACATCAGCAACAGCCACGAAAACATCATTTAAAAAGTGAATTCGGGCTGCCTCAAACTTTTTTGCGCTTATTCCATCTTGTACAATTCGTCAAATGTTGGCGTATTTTTCTAGAGTTGAATTGTAAAGGACTGTATGAAAGTTCAGGAGAAGAAAAGGAACGTTGTTGTGTTGTGTTCCCGTCTTCAACAAAATGTGAAATTAGGAAGGTTCATGTCATAGTTGTGCAACGATGGCCAAGAAATGTAGAAAAAAGCGTGATCCATGTGCAAAGTTGTTGTTTTTCCAATCTACGCATATTGCTTTTTTGCCATCGCCGTTGTCATTGGTTAACTCCCTGTTAATTGACAAGTCCGGTCAAAATGACTGGAAATGAAAATTCCATCCAGACAAATGGTCATCTTGTCCTGACATTGTCCACTTACCACCCGCTATTTTGAGCCCCGAATCTCACAGATCAAGCACTGGTCTGGTTATTTAACCACCTTTTTATTAGCATAAACAGTGAAATGTGACCTGATTGTATTTTACAATTTGTCAGTATATTAAGAAGATAAATACAACTCCAGGGTTTGAGCCAGGGCACGCCATTGCACCAATCCTGCACAGCAATTGAAATTGTCCCTTAGAAAAACAGCCAAGGGGACAATTTGTCCCCTTCAGAATTTAGGGAAAAACTCGAAAGGAAGCACACACGAGATTTAGATTTAGGTCAGCACAGAAATTGCAAGCTAAAACAGAACGTCGAAAATATATTTTATCGCACGTTTAAAGTTCATTCTAAAGTCACCTTTCAGTCACGCTCTACTGAACACGTAAGTCTCATGCTCAACCAAGCGTGGTGAACGCACCTGGCAATCTTTAACATGTCACATCGAAAAGGTGTTCGAACATCAGAAAGCTTTTTCGCTCCAAATCGAAGCCAGAGTGAATCAGAGAAAAATGATACAGAACAAGAACAGTGTATTAATCAGGAAGAAACGGAACAGGATTGAAGGAAACCGAAAAAATCATGAACTTTCCAGAAAACTTGGTTGCGAGATCACACATCGTTGCGCTATGAAAAGGAGGCGTACGTCTACCAGTAATTAAGAAAGGAATTGAAGTTTACAATGGGATGCCAAGATGAGATTCTGCTGTGAAATGTTTTGAAGTATAAAGCATAGTCATTGATCCCCTGTTTAAATATGACGAGAAGAAAGTCGCAACACCAATAACTTAACTTTTCTTGTTTGTATCACTTTTCTTGTATTACAAGGATCAGGTAAAAAAAAAATGTTTTTGGTGCCTTGCCTGTATAGCCACACATATAGCCACAGCATAAAAAAGATGTTGAATAAAAATTAATTTGTCTGTCCCCCTAAAAATTAAAATGTCCCCAAAATTTTAACCAAGGGGACAAATTGTCCCCCAGTGATCAAATCCTAGCTCGAACCCTGCAACTCTACATACAGTTGGGTATTTTTTTTCACCCTTTCATTTGTTGACAGTAGGAATCACACCTCCTGAAGATGTTGGCAGTAGATGGTTTGGAAAGTTCAGCTCCGGAATCCTCGACATTGCCTATTAAAGAGGAAAAAGCAAAACCTAGAAAGCATGATGAATTGCAGTATCTGAATATGATTCAGTACATTCTTGATAATGGCATGGAGAAAGGAGATAGGACAGGTACATTACATACATTGTACAGGGCAATATAGAGCCAAAATGAAAACTCAAGAAAATTAATTATTTTTCGAGTCATACTTTTAAAATAATAATAAAATTAATATGCTGTAAAATTACCAAATGACATAATACACTCCTGCTTGTTTTTTGAATGGCTTCAAAAGCTCTGATATAGATCAATTCATTCTTGCATTAATATTTAGATTTGGGATCTTGTGTAATTATTATTTGTGCACCCCTCGGTCTCTATATCATCTGTTGACACCTCGACGGACACTCAACCAATATGTCGGTCGATACATCAGTCAATATATCGAGTGATACATCAATTCAATACCCCACCAAGAATTCCCGGGAGTACCTCCCCCAGGATGTCTATAACTGGGGAGGGAGGGGGAAGGGGGATATAAGTGGAAGTTTATTGCCTAATTTCATACCGCGCGGGGGCCTGGCACTACCGGAATTTCCCGGACTTTTTGAAAAGTCCAGTTTCAAAATGGCGGATAGTCAGAGTAAAAACTCGAACGAAAGCATCCTTTTTCGAAGGAATATTGATCAATATTCCCTCAAAGAATCTGCCTAAACTTAGTAAGGAAAGGATGCAGTATTTCTGTCATGCCCTGAAGCTAAACTTAAGGAGCCGACACTCAGCCGCAAGAGCAAGCATTGTTCAATGAACAGGTCGCTCGCACCAAAGATGACTATAAATTTTGTACAGCACTGGATCCTCTGTTTAATTCAACCATCTTCTGAATAGTAGAGGATCATTGCAGGCAAGAACACAGATGTGATTGTGTACGTACCGATCGTAACCTAGGTTTGCTGGAGCAACAATTAAAAGGGCAGTACAGAAAGCTTACCTGGATTATTCCCGTCGCGGAAAAGAGAAATGTCCGTGAAAGGTACTGAGTTCAGTGAACTTTGTGGCATTATGTATGTTAAACCTAGTGTTCTTAAATCACATGCAAGAGAATAAGGGACTAGTCTATACTCAGTGCATGTTAGCCAAAAGGTAGATGTACGTGACGTTCTTGATTGAATTACAAGGTGATTACTCCAAATTGTAAATATGCTCGTAGACCCAATAAGTTCCAAAAAGAGGCAGCTCAACAAGTGAGCCCTTGTAAGCCATTGCCATTTCACATTTTATCAATGAATTTATACATGTCTTGACTAGTGTCTAAATTACTAGAGTTGTAAAGTAACTGGAAGGTACAGAATCACCCGCAGGGCCCTCAGAAAGAAACTGTATACTACCTACAATTTATCCCTCCAAGAAACATTACTTGTGTATGATAACATTGCTCAATGCATGAGGTCTGGTCACAGGAACTGCAGTGCTATTGAACTAGAAATACCTCTCTTTTAAGACAGAACTATACTTGCTTTTATCTATGGTTAGTGAGAATTGTCTCTGGTATGATCTTTAGGATTTTTTGCTGACACCGCACGCAGCGACGGAGAAAAAACCTAATGTAAGCCTTGCCGATCTAATACGATGTTGCCCTTTCACTCAGGGTCACTTTGCCGTGTTTCGCTTTTTGGTAGTCTTTATTTTACGGTTTGTAAAAACAGATACACCCACTTCCTTATCATTCCCCGATATTCGGTCGGATCCAGCGCTGTAAAAAAAGCTAAATGCGACTGTTCTTTCTTCAAATTTTTTTGTCGAACAATTCGGGAATACGGTACTTCCAATACTTCCAAGTAGCGAAAGTCTCCAATTTGATCTTTCTTTTCTCAAGGTTTTTAATCGACGTCCTTCGTAACAGCAGAACAACTGTTCTTTGCTGTAGAATATTAATATTCTGGAGTAATCTGGTCCTTAATATCGTTTCAACTGCACGCAATGACCTTTGCTTTACCCTCTGTTTTGGGAGCCATAATTGAATCCGGAATGTAAAAAGTCCGGGAAAATCCGGTAGAGCCAGTCTCCCGCGCGCTATGAAATTAGGCAATGGTGCCTGTTAACTACTGCCTGAGAGGTTTCATACTAATGGACTCTCTCTTCCAGTATATGCAGGGCTGAAAATAACGGACAGCAGGTTGCCGGTCATGATGACCGGCCAAATATTTTTCAGCCCGGACAAACCCCGATTCTGTCCGGTCAAATTATGAATACCATAATTTTTTTTTTGCCCAAGGAATATCGAATTATGCTGGCAATAGATCGTTATTACTACATTAACGTTCACATTTTTGACATTAAGTTGGTGAAAAATGCTTCAGTTTCACCTTGTAGAGTTCCTTTCCACGGTTTTCGCGCATTTTAATGTTACATTTGAGTATCATCGTACGGCGGTGTCTGAAGTCTCTCAAGTAAAAAGTGAAGCGTCAATCCTTTTTAAACTCTCAAGGTTCAGGAAATGGAATACACATACAGTTCAATAAACTTAAGGAATTACCAAAAAAAAAATAATTTGGGTTATTTTACATAATCTGCACACAATTGTTTTACGTTGATGTTCCGAAATGAACATCTGTCAAACTTTTTCCTTGCCTGGCACATGATCGAAAGTCTCTTCAAAGAAGAATCGTCACTAATATTTTTGGCAAAGAAGTTGATTTGCATTGGCATGTTTATCATCAGAAGTCAATAAATATACAGCAGAGCTTTCATTTGGGTCATCGCACAACATTTCATCCCGAAGGGCTCAAATGTCAACAGAAATTTGCATAAAGTTGTTTACAAGAATGAGATAGACGACGACACAGTGACAACCTTCCCTCTAGCCTGCGAAAACATCCCTTTCTCCTCGCTCTTCGCCGCTGGGGACATTTTGCGAAACGTCCCCAGCGGCAAAGAGCGAGGAGAAATGGATGTTTTCGCAGGCTACCTTCCCTCTTGATTAGCTTAAATTTTTATGAGACTATTCTGGAATTGAGTCTTCAAACAAGATTCATGTTCGACATAAAAGAAATTATTATTAATCGATGCGCTAACAATATTCCCGGAGAAACACAGGATGACCTGTTGAGAATTGCGATCGATCTGCCCAAATTCCGTGGAATTCCCAAAGAAGGTCGCATTACTGATTACAGCAAAGCACAAAGTACAGTACGATTTGCAACGTCGCGTTACTTTTCAACTCAGTTTGTTATTCACTTTGTTACGTTTCATTACGACATGACGACATGAATAATTAATTTATTGCAACGTTCTTTTCTTAGAAGGATTTAGTGCAAAGCAAAGCAGCAAAATAAGCCAAAGAAAAAAGAAATCATTGCAGTTTCATAGAGCATTAAGCGACAACTGTATGGAAAATAAAATGTTTGTATCCAAAAATGACCGGTCAAAGTGACCGGTAAGACCAGAGTTTGACCGGTCAAGTCTGCAATCAGGCCGGACATTGTCCGTTGACCGGCCGTTATTTTCAGCCTTGCAGTATATGTACATCTCTTTTCACAGTAAGCAGTTTGAGGTGGCAGTATTCGTTGAATAAGCGTGTCTCAAAATTGTTCTTGGTAAAAAGTAACTAAATTTTCAGAACATGCAGTTTGTAAGAGGACCGCTGTTCTTGTTGTTAACTTTTGCCCATGAAAATGCTGTCACCGCAACTAGCTGCTCCCTGATCTCCTAAATTGCATATTATTTTTGTAAAAGAATGTGAAAGAAATTAATGTGTATTTTTAATTTTTTAGGCACAGGTACTATCTCTGTCTTTGGTACACAGATGAGGTTTAGCCTACGTAACAATGTTATTCCTCTCCTGACAACAAAGCGTGTGTTCTGGCGTGGAGTTGCAGAAGAACTTCTGTGGTTTGTTAGTGGATGCACTAATGCAAAAGAGTTAAACAAGAAAGGAATTAAAATCTGGGATGCAAATGGCTCAAGGGAGTTTCTTGATAAACAAGGTACATGTAACATGATACAGTACATAAAATATAAATTTGACCCCCTTCTTCACTCTTTACCCCCTTCTTTAAAATTCGTAAGGATCAATTTAGCATGCATTGACTACTATGATGGCAGCGAAAATGTCACTTTTAAAATGAATTCGCATTTTTTTAACCTTAATGTCGCGTTTATTTCGATTTGCTGAAAATGACAAATGTAGGCAAATTTCTTTGGAGTTGAATTCTTGGGGACTGCACTGAGGTTTAGAAAGGGAAAGAAAAATTCATTGTCACAAGTGTACATTTTCTGTAAAATGTGAAATTAGACATTTTCACACTACAGTCTTGCAGTGATGGCAAAGAAATGAACAAAAAAGTGTGATAGTTGTTGTTTTGCTTGATAAACTTGTTGCTTTTTTTGACTTTCTCATTGTCATCCCTGTCATTGTTGCTAAAGCTCCTTTTATTTCACCCTCCCCCATAATCAACATTCATGTCTTCCTGGCAATGACCCTGGAAAATTCAAGGGGGCAGGGGGGGGAGGGTGTGCAGCATACATTCTGAAACCCTTCCCTTTTTAGATCTCAACCACTGTTTCTCAGAAGTGATTGATGAAAAAAGACACCCCCTACCCAATTCCAGAATCAGGGTTCTAGAGAGCATACAACCTTGCCCTATTTCAAGAACAGCTATAATTTTTGTAATTATCATACCCCAAATTTTAGGCTTAAAGGGGTCCAAAACTAAACCCTATGTTATATGCTCCTTTATTAAAAACTGAATCATTGGATAATGCAGTTCTAGAGCTCTGATTGGCTTAGCTATCAGGGTATATGAGCCATTATACCATGCTCTCCAAATATGGTAACTGTACCGATCTTCCGAAAATATTAAAAACAAGCTGAAAAGTGGTTGTTCTTACAAAGTAAAGTTGGGATGAATTCTTGATATTTTGTGTGCATTTTTAATAAAACGATATTATTCCACTCGTGCTTGTTGGATATGAGATGATTATAGCCAGCTCATAACCAATGTGCACTCGTGGATTATTGTTAAATATATCTGACTTGTCAGGCGTAATATTATGTGTAATAAGGGAAAACCCCTACCCCACTCCTATTGTTCATGATCAACATCTCAATGTAACTTCTGTTTAGGTTTACATGACCGAGAGGAAGGGGATCTTGGTCCGGTGTATGGATTCCAGTGGCGCCACTTTGGTGCTAAATACATCAACATGCATGCAGAGTATAAGGGCCAGGGTGTAGATCAGTTAGCAACTGTTATTGACAAGATTAAAAATAACCCTGATGACCGGCGAATTATAATGTCAGCATGGAACCCAGTTGGTAAGGCATAGCTTCTCCTTAGCCTTCTTAAGTCTCAAGTGTGATTGTCATCAATTTTCTCCTTCTGATCCACCATATAGACACTCAAAGGTTGTAAGAATCAACAAAAACAACAATCATCTTTATTTGTGCCCTGGAGAAAATCATGCTTCATACAATCTTGAAAAGTACTGGATTTCTGAAAAGTTCCTTGAAATTCACTACATTTTATTCACCAGACACCATTTTCTGTAAGATGGTATTATTTCACCAAGGAAAATTTGGCTCATCCTATGTGTAAGAACCTGTTAAACTGATGGGTAACATACAAACATTTTTGTGCGTGAGTAATAATTATTTTATTTCTGTTTCTTTATTTCAAATACTTTTTCTGTACCTCAGATGCAATTGCAAGTTATACCCAGTCATTTTGTAAAGTGTTGTTGTGGAAAGTAACATAAAATAATGTGATCAACCATGGCTGAAGAAAAAAAAATTTATTGTAAATTACCCCATTGAGTACCAGTAAGGTGTTCAAAAGGAGGTTTAAGATTGCCAATTTACAGAATATTGGTCCTAGTAAGTCCTTGAAAACTGTAATTTGTCCTTGAAAAGTCCTTGAAAAGTCCTTGAAATTTGTTTGTCTGAAGTTGTACAAACCATGAAAAATTAATGTTGGCAGTTGGCAAGATACGGAGCATAGCCACTTGGAAATAGCAAAATGCTAGTCGCACTAAGTCGCTAACCCAGTGAGGGATGTTTGCTAGCAACAACAACAACAACAGTTTAATAAGGTATTCTCATTTGCATACCTGGCATTACCTATTAAGACACTTTTGAAATTATTACATGATTGTATCTACAATTCATGATTTCAAAAATAAAAGCAGCAACTGATTTACAAATAAATGGATCAATGTTGTTAAATAGGAACAAAATATTTGATTTTACATCTAAATTGGTAAAAGAGTTATATTTTTTGATGATTTCATCCAAAAATTTGTTTAGAGGTGTATCATACAGGGTGTAAGAAAACATGACGTGACATTCATTTTCAACTTCATTAGCTTGACATCAGGAACAGATTCTTAAGTGTTCGGGAGTCTTGGGTACAGTATATCTCCCTGTTTCTCCCTGTTTCAATGATTTCCTAGGTTAGCAATGGCTAGTGGCCCATGCAACCTGCTAAATAATAGTTGCCTTTGGATGATGTATCACTATGTACCCTGGATTTACCTCTGTAGGGCTCCTTTAACTTTTGGACTCCCAACATACATATACAAGTAATATCCTTGATATTTGATTTCCCCATTTTTATTGTAGTGAGTGCATGAGAACATCAAAGTACCTAGAACTTGGTATGCACTGCACAATGTTTTTAGATGCAACTGAAAAGTTTTTTTTATCAAGGGATTTTGTCAGTTGAATGGGCTGTAAAGGACATTGTATACACAAGACGTCTGTTTTCTCTTATCAATAGATTTGCCTTATATGGCCTTACCACCATGCCACTCGTTTGTTCAGTTTTATGTCAGCAATGGGGAGCTCTCTTGTCAGATGTATCAAAGGTCTGGTGATATGGTATGTGGCTTAATCAAACATGCATTAATTTTTGTAGTGTACCAATAGCTTGTTTTGTAGTAGTATCATTCAGAGGAGCTATTTTTTTAATAATACAAGTACTATGAATATATTTTTTTAATAATATAAGTCCAGGCCCTTTAAAAGTTTAGTTTTTCAAAAGGTGGATAAACGAATTGTGATATCCACTGGATAGAGATTTATCTAGTGGATATCACTATTTGTTTCCCTAATAGTTATCCACTGGATAGTGATTTATCTGGTTGATACTGATTGTAAATGAGGGCCAGGCTCCTAATTCCCCTTATTATTATTATTTTTTTAAATAACTGATTGATTGATTGATTGATTGAGTGACTCACAGGCTACTGGCTCACTGACTGGTCATTAATACTGACTACACTGCAAGTGACTAACTGATAACCTTGGCTGAGTGACTGGCTATAGCTAACAGGCTGGTTGACCTACTTAATGCTGAGCGACGAACTAACAGAATAACTCTTGACAGTGATTCAGCCACTATAATAATTATTATAATTATTAACTGTGACAGACTTTCAGACTGACTGATAAAGCTATGGCTTGTCACTAGGCACCTGCCTAGCTTACTGGCCAGCAGAATGGTTGACTAATTGACATCTGACAACTGTCTGACTGGCTGTCTAACCACACCTGTAACAAAATAATATTGAAATGACTTCATACTGACTGACTGACTACTGAGTGATTGCTGTTTGACATACTGAATGATTTACTGATGGCTGATGACTGTCAAGCTGACTGGTTCTTTGATTGACTGGCTACTGACAGATTGCCTTGGATCTGACAACTGAAAGTGACAAAGTATCAGTACTTATTGATTGTTTGATAGGTTGTCAGATATGATCAGTATGGTCATTTGTTGTTAGTTAAAATATTGGAGGAACTATTTGTTCCACGTTTTACCTTTTTTACTTAAACAGTCATTAATTTTGTCATTGCAACATACATGTAATTATGATATGAAATGTTAATTTTTCAATATATTGTTGTTGATTTGTTAGGGCCTTGGGGTACCATTTAACATCGCAAGCTACTCCCTTTTAACACACATGATTGCACATGTCTGTGATCTCAAGGTAGGATGCATAACGCTTTTACAAAAAGAAAATGTAACTGTTTGTTGAACCATTTACATGTAATTTTATTACAAAACTAGAAAATGCAATAATTATTATTTAAATGAAAGACACAAAGAAATACAAAGTAAAAGAGTATGGAATGAAGTTTCCCCTGTTTCTGAGGAGAAAGTGAAGCTTATTTATTCTTCTCTTTGAAATAATTTTTAGCCTGGAGACTTTGTTCACACCCTTGGAGATGCACATGTCTATCTGAATCATGTCGACGCTTTGAAAATCCAGGTAAGAGGAGTTATGTCAAGAATAAAGTTAATTCCCACCTTTGTTCTCACAATTTGTCATGTATTAATATGCAATGAAAGTAGTCTCTGATAGCTCTAGGCTAGTAGATTTTGCTATCAGGCGAGTGAATTCTGTTTTTTAAATTACCGAAGAAATGCATGTTATCATTATCCTGCTCATCAAACCTTTTTTGGGGGCTAGTTGAAATGACTTTTAGGCAAGTTGTAAACCTAACTTTCTTTATACTCTGCTGTATAGGGGTGTGTACCCAACAGGTGCATGTCCATGTACATGTCGCTTTTTGGAATCATCATACTAGTTGTCCAGGTGATGCTCCTCTAGCTCCCCAAAGTCTCCCTAATTTTTATTATTCAAATGGAGATCATGGCTGAAAAAAACAAAAACAAAGAGAAATTGATCACTATGAATTCGTTTGACAGCTTACAAGAGAACCACGCCCATTTCCAACTCTGAAGATAAAAAGGAATGTTGAGGACATTGACAGCTTCAAATCTGAAGATTTTGAGATCATAGGATATGATCCACATCCAACAATTAAAATGAAAATGGCTGTGTAAATACAGAGGATAATATCTCTTATGTAAATATAATGCTACAACTTTTTCATGTGCTTGTAAAATTAGTCTGAAATGTCATATGTCTCCACCCTCTAACCCATGGGGGGCACGGGGGAGAGAGACATTAGTTTGAAATTGTATGGCATTTCAGACTAGAGAGACAAGCGTTATACAATGTAATGGTGTCCGGTCACATCACCTAGTATGCATTTTTTTAAAATTCTTAACAAGTTGGCAGCCATACACTGTAAGTCACTGAAACGTGAACAGCAGCATGCATACATGTATGAGGTCTATATGAAGTGTTCTCTGATTTGACTGCAGTGAAGCTTGATGATAAAGCCTCCAGAATAAATGTACGGGGTTGTTTAACTTTTCGAGTTTGAAATGAAGAGTTGACAGCAGGCTAAACACAACTTATAAGCTTGTGATAGTGTGAAACATGACCTTGGACTACAGAGGTTCCCTTCTTCTTTCGCTTAGGTTATGTAGTACACTGAGTATTTTAAACTCTGACGGAGCAAAAATTACTTTTGCCGTTCTAAGTCTAACATTTAGAGGTCATGAAGCTGGTCTGTTTCATGCATATTGAGTAATTATTTCCTGTGGTCTGGAGCGCGATGTCCTACTGTACAGTTCCTCCGATGGCATTTACTTTTGCGGCTGAACTGGTAGTGCAAGCTACAAGTGCCTAATGTGAGACTGCAGTAAAAGGTTCCTCATCAGTTGGTAGTATGGTACGAGTCTTCACTTTGTGAAGAGAGGCTAACTCTAAGGTCTTGTTTCACACAGCAGTTATTAGTCTCATTTGGCCTGTCAATACTATTTCAAACCGGATGTTTTGCTCAGTACGTTCAGCCACTGATAAAAGTTTTATTTTTTTGGAAAGGTAATAGCCAATCAAAAAATACCTACCATATTTGCAAAAGAAGGTGATGTCACCGAACAACATTGTAATGCTTGGAATTCAGACATCTCTCTCCTCCACGCCCCTCATGAGTTAGGGGATGGAAACGTGTGACAGTTTAGACTGATGTAAAATGTAACACTTAACCACTTTTATGAATAAAAAGGTTTCAAAATAATGCAACAAACTCCGTACAGCACATAACTTTTAAGAAATGCAACTTGTTAATCTCTGAGAAGTGCAGTATTTTTGCAGAATTTTCCAATAAATGGCAATAAAACACCTAACAGTGAGTGTTTTGAAAAGTCTTGCATTATGGAAGAACGCATGAGCGATTGGAAGCCGCGAGGAGCTTTCTCTCTTCGCTCTCCTGTGTTTTTTCTCATGGTGTGCACTGATGTCCTCTGACTTGTCATAGGAAAGAGAAGTGTGAAGTCACAAACATTCAGATTTGTGAAATTATGGGATTGGTTAGCATATTCAGAAATAACAAGATGAAAAGAGCTCCCCTGCCAAAAATCAGCCTCTTAGTGCAAATTGGTGAGGAGATATAAGCGCTGATTATCTCTCATGACTCCATACACATCCTTCTAAAGTAGTCTTGGACAGGAGCCTACCACCCAACGATAGGCTCCTGTCTTGGATTGTAACGTTAATGATCCCAACCAATATTAGATGGATTTATATAAAGTCATCGGAGCATGATGTTGCTTATTTGCACCAACAGGTTAATTTTTAGCACGTGAACATGCTTTGTCTTGTTCTCTCTGGATAGGTCAACCAATCCCATTCTTTCACAAATTTAGTTCTTGTGACGTCATCACTGCTCTTCTCTATATATCGACCCTGGCAAAAAAAATAGGACTTTCCATTCTTTTTGCAGAATTCTGACTTTGAGAAAAGTCTGGGCTGTTATTAATAATTAGCAGGTGCAGGTACGGGTGTAAACTGAAGATGTTCGGATTAGGGCAAAACTGCTACACTGACCTGGCCCCATGCAGTTGTCCGACCGGTGGATAACGCTATCCACTGGGTAAATCTCTGTCCAGAAGATAGTGCAATTGGTTTCCCTAATATTCATCTGCTGGATAGTGATTTATCCACTAGATCGACGTTTGAACAACCGGGCCTGTTAATTAAACCCTCCAAATAAATCTTGGTCTCCCTCGCAGCCGTTTTTTTGGATGTCACGCAACGCTCCCCCAAGTTCTTTTGGGGGAGCGTTGTGTGACATCCAAAAAACGGCTCTGAGGGAGACTAAATAAATCTACGTATCAAAGTTCAATATAATATGATGTAGTAGACATGAAAAACGTAAACAAAAAATCTAAAATGAAGAAAATAACGCAAATGTTTTTTCACTGTTTGTTCCTCCAAAGAAGACGTGAAAATATTTGTTTAGTTTAGGGGTCAGTTGTTACTGATCAACCACTGTCAGTGGTCAGGGATAGTGTTACAGCTGTTACATGGATTTATCCAATGGAAGTTTTTTTTCTATTGCCAGTTAGCTTAGTTGGCAACTCTAAGTTGTTTTCGACCCATCTATGTTTCTGCACTTTTCAGTCTTACCTCTGAACAGGTCTAAATGATGTTTACTGCTGTAGTTGACTTCCTTCCACCAGGAAATTTGGTACATCTCACGACTTTTTTTCCATTTCTCACTACTTTTCACAGCTCTAGGTTCAGAGTTTCACATTTTTTTACTTTTTGTGGGTTGGCAAGTCTGAAGTAAAAAGAAAACCAATTGCGTTACCCACTGGATAAAGAATTTTATGTCATAGCCACGTGTTCATGCATGTCACGTACATCGTCACGTATTACGTCACGTACATCAAGATAGTTGTGGCCGCGAAACACTGGAATCTACACTTAAGTCGGCCATCTTGTTTTTTGTTCTTCAAGTAGTCCTCGAGAAGTATGAGGTGAAAATAGGCTACATGGCTGCTATATTTTGATAAAGGGAGCTACCTTATTGGAGGGACAACCGTCTTAGTTCAAGTCTTTTAAGGTAACATCATTTACAGTGTAACCATGAAAAATGTGCGCGTATACAGTCTTCTTTGAACAAACGTCAGCTAATATTTTTATGATCTTTCTTGTGGCTTATCGATCTGTTTTTGACCATAGTTCTCGCTAAGCTTTTCAAATAATATTTTTTTTGCGAAATGACCCGTATTAATTTAAAATATTTTTTTCGGGATTGAATATTCTTAAATTGTTTCTTTGTTTCCAGCAAAATATTGCTGTTTGAAGGCATTAAGCTTGTGTACATCAGTGGTTACGTAAGCTTACCAAACAAGGAGTTAACCAATTAATTTTCATCCCTTTCACATCTAACAGTCTGAATAGTTGCCAAAGAAAAATATTTAATGGAAGAACAAACCTCTCTCTGTAAAATTCTTAGAAAAGGACTATCAAAAATGCAAAAGGTCAACCCAGCAAGGTTTAATTTGACCGGTAACACCACAATTTTAAAGTTGAGACTCTGTACGATTCCTGCAGACATCACTTTTGTTGCGCTTTTTCCATCGAATCATTGGTTGTTTATTGAAAAAATTGTTTTGGATGACAGTGCTATCAGTGAGCTTGAGAAACCGTGACAACTATGAAAATGAGAAAAGGAAAAAGTAGTTTTAATAAAAAAAAACTCAAGAGGTAGTTAATCAATAAAAATCAATATCAGGAATCAATCGATATTAATGATGATAGAAATCGAAATCACAGAAGAAATTATTTATCGATTATCATCTATTAATAAAATCGATAACAATCCACGGAATTGATAGTAATCGATAACAAGCAATAATCTGGAAGTGAATATCCTGAAGCAAGCAACACCCATGAGACCGGCTTTACCTTACGACATTGATTCAATTTTGTATACAAAGAACAGGAAGTGGCTGCAAACGAAGTGCTATCTGGAATTGATCTGACTGGTTTCAGTAGAATATCAATTTTTTTCTTTGTTAGGGAAAAATATCTCCTTGAATACTTGTACTATCATTGTTTTGCAGCTGAAAAGAATAATAGACAGTCAATGCTAGCCAGTGGTTTCCCTTCTGCCATTGCTTTAGTTAGTATTTGGTCAGTTTAGCAGGGGCTCCTTGTGACCCTTATATGCAGTTACTTGCTTGCAGTGCTGCCCGCTTGCCATATTTGCACAGTGCTGTTTTTCTCCTACGGTGGTTCTTTGTCTGCCATTCTGGAAAGAATCAGTATTTGGAATGTTGGCATTTGAGGGGAGTGGAAAACTGGAGCACCCAAATAAATATCTCTCAGAGCAAGAGGGCAAGAACCAACAACAAATTCAACCAACTTGCATGTATGGCACTACCCCCAGGACTTGCACCTGGGCCATATTAGTGGGAAGAGAGTTGTCACACACACCACCACACTATCTTTCCTCTCTCTTCATCATAATTGCAGGCGACAAGAGGAGCCTGCAGCCTATTCTTGGTCAGTGGCACTCTTACTGTATAGTGAAGTTTTTCCTGAATCTGTCCACATTCTTAGGATGCTCATGTTGTACGACTAATATGCATGGTTTGTGGCTGTCAAGACCCTGGTATTGAGTTTAAGGTCCGTTTGATGTCACGGTAATCATGTGAATGCACATGTAAGAGATGCAACAATCATTATTACATTCAATTCGCAAGCACACGTATTCAGGTACACAAGTACTACTAATAGTAAATGGGAGACTTCGATTCACCTTGCCAACCTGGAATCTATTTACCCAGGAAAATGAACATAGAGCCTGATCTCAGCTTAGTGCAGGACAAGTTTTCAGTAAGATACGAGTGTTAGCAAAGTCTAGAAATCGAATTACCGTACTTAATTCAGGTCTCACTACAGTGCATGATTTTTATATATTTATACAAATGTGCGTTTCCAAGCATGTTAAGTCACTTGTCATCCATTTCCAAGCATGTTACATCATTTGTCATCCAAAAGTTTCAATGAGCTTTAAATTCTAGTGTTAATTTAAGCTGTTTCTTTATTTTCTATTGCATATCAACAACCTTCAGTCATTGATCACAGATTGTATTTTTGAATAAATAATAAGACTTCATGCAGTCATGACTGTATAAATGTGCATTACTCGTATCACACATTACTGTTTTAATGTATCTTTGCCGCCGAATAAAGCCATCTCTCCTTGCTCCTCACCATTCACTGGCTAGTTGTGTCTAAGCAACTGTGAATAAAATCGTTGAAAAAATATGAGTCTTGTTTACTGTGTTGTTCAATCCAGTTTTCATGATCGACAGTGATTCCTTTTGTTGACACTGGAACTAAAAGGGCTTTCTCTGATTCACCTACACAGTTATGAAAGCAGTTTTCATAAATCAGATCTCCAAGGTAATATATAGATTTAGCCAGGGCAAAGCAAAGCTCTGGTTAATAATATGTGTAAACAAAATAAATTAAATCGTGTAATGCTAAACGGAGGACGACAATGAAAATGGCTTCAAGACTAATCGGTCCAATTAGCAAAAAAACAAATTGCACGTGCAGCACACTTTTTCTTCTAATTAGCAAAAAACAAATTTGCACGTGCAGCACACTTTTTTGTCTTTTCCTTGCCGTTGTTTTGCACGACTACAACTCTGTTGTGTACGACTAAAATGTCAGACTTCCTAGTTACACACTATTTTTATGGAGAAATTGTCGTATGTGCTTACCCAATATTTTGTTTCCAGTGTTTATGTTCGCTTTTATTTTTCACTGCCGCTCATTTTCACCTTGCTGGCCGCTAGCATTTCTCATTTTTTCACCACCGCTTTGAATTTCCATGTTTTTCTTCCCACGAATTTTCAATAACTCACTCTAGCTCTTTCTCTGTTATCCACGTTAGTGTACACATATAAAATAACGCCGAAAAAGACACGACTTTCTTCTTTAAAAAAGTGCGGGCGGCCATGTGATTTCCTTCCAAATAAAACCTTGAGTTGCTTTTGGGTTCCCATACCTGTTGATTGAGTTATTTTACATTGGTATGCCTGTGGTGTGGACGGATGGTTGCTCGCTCGGTGTACGGTCACGTGATTACCAAATTTTCTGGGATGGGTCGGGATGGGTAGATTACCACATTTCCTTAGTTATGGGGCTCCGCCCATGCACGCACGCTTCGCGCGCGGGTGGAGCTCTGCTATAAAATCAACATGTTCAGCCGCACTTCCTAGCCAACTGAGAAGGCCATAGAAAGTGTCTGTATTAACGGGGTGTCTGTATTAAATGGGTTGAATGTAGAGAAAATGTAATGGCTTTCTTTTCCCTGGGACAAAGCCAGCTGTCCATAATAATAAGGTGTCCGCATTAAGTGGGTGTCTGTAATGCGGGGTTTGACTGTATGTTAATTATTACTTGATGTGACCTTTAATGTGCTGGTTCTGCAAAATGATATTTCCCTTGTGTTATAGACCTGATGTGTGCACTCTAAAATGACAAGTCCTAATAACTTGAGATTTGCTGTGAAACATCTCTACAAGCAGGTAAGAAATTTTATAAGCTGTTGGTAGTTCAGTCCTTAGATATTATTGAATGGAAAAGTGAATAAAGAACAGTTTTATCAGATACAGACATGATGCTCAAATTACTGTTGGGGAACTTATTTGTTTTTCAAAGTTTAGAGGGGGCACTAACGTTTAAAGAACTGGCTTATTTGTTCATAAGGGGCGCTTATTTCTATAATTTCTGCCTAAAGGTAGCATTGTCCTCAAAATTTGGGACATTAAAGACGAAACCCAAATAATATTATGAGTGTGTGTGTGTGGGAGTCGGGGGGGAGGGTAGGGTTGTAGCATGTATTATTTGGCTTTCAACACCCTTCTATGTTCAGAAATGGTCATGTCTTAAACAACAATAGTGTGAAGCCCGTAAATTTATTGTTCTCTCCTCTTCACAATTTTTCTTCTATTTTGTTTTTGTATCAGTTCCTCTAAACTAGTCTTCTAAGTTATTCTTGCCCAAGTCGAAGTAATCTGTTAAATGCTTTTTTCAAGACCATAGGTCTGAGCACAGATCATAGGTACATGTACATGTAACAACCAATCGCATTATGCATTATCCAGTACATTGTATAAAAAAAATTGTTTGCTTATTTTTTGCCGTTTCAGTTATTGTATCTTGGAAGAGATTATCCAGCAGGCGAGCAATACTTCAAGTCCAAACTTAAACGAGCTTTTATGAAACACAGAGAAGAAACAGATCCAGAAAAAATCAAGATGTTAATTGCTAGAGGAGAGTACGTCATCAAGGAACTTGAGGCACTATACATGTTACGCAAGTATAGAACTTTAAAGCAACGTTACTATGGAGATGAACAAAAATGATAAAAGCTAATTTAACATATTGCCTGCAGAGTTTGTGTTATTCCAAGTTCGGTGTGGTTGTATTGTCAGTGCACATCTGAAGAATTAACTTGTGTCTATAGTGGACGCACCTTATGAACACCTCACTTTTATAGAGTAGGGACGGCAGCTTTATTTCTAGCAAGAATTATGGGTATTATTTTGAATGAAGTAAACGCTTGTCAATAGAAAGATTTAGATTCACGGCAAACGGCAGACCCCAGTTGAGAAATTTTCTTCAAAATAGAAAATGAGCAGATAAAAACAGTCTAAAGCAATTCTCATGGATGAAAAAAACGTGAAACTACTTATATTTTTGTTCAAATAAAGAACTGTCAAAGACAAGTGAATGGAAAACTTGGTGACATGGCAAAAATTCACGTTTGCTGTTTGCCGCAAACGCGACTCTTAATCTCTCTAATATCAACATGATTTGTTATTGTGGATCGCGGATACTATTTTGTTTCTTTCTGCAGCCTGAACTCTCCTTGGAAATAACTGAAAATACGTAAATGTTAAACATTAATTTAAAAGGGAGAAAAATGTATGGAATTATTTTATAAGCACAAAAATACACAATACAGTTGTACTGTTGTTATGAGCACAGTGACCTGTTTTCAGTTTAACTAAGTAAGACGATGCAAGTTCCACCCGAGGCGGGTACTGCATGACCGTTTAAGTGGGGGTGACGCCCCTATACTGTTCTCCTTGCCTGTGGGCTATGCTTGGCTACATTAGATTGAGCCGGCTTTTAAATACTGGTTGGTTAACTGACAAATGGGTATTGTCTGGTCAAATCCTTGGATAACTTTGCTTTTTGTCAGAGTCTCTATTGTTGAGAGGGAATTGAAAAGGAAAAGGTAAAAGTCCTTGTTTTACGTCAGGAACTCATAACAATACTTCAACTGACAATTTGAGATCGAAGGTGCGCTCATCTTATCCGCTCTCCCCCTCACCCCTCTTCCTACTCTCCCCCCTCACCCCCTCTCTCTCCTCTCCCTCTCTCCCCCTCTCTCCATCAGTGCTCTGTTTTACGGGTATTTAAAGCTACTTAAAGCTAAACGGAAAGGAAAGAAGTCGAAACAAGGACTTGACGTCGGACCTAAGAATGGAACTCCAAAACTCCTGCACATAGGGACGTACACTAGCCGACTGAGCTAATCTGGCTTCCTCCTCAAGAGAGAATGATAATGAGCTCATTTTCTCTTGTTCCTCCTGTATAGCAGTGGACATGGAGATAGAAAGCAAACTTCTCAGCTTTCCTTTTTTCTTGTCCCAGCATTTCCTTGTCCCGGTTGGTTAAGAGACAGTCCTGACGTTCTTCTCTATACAGAGACTTAACAAAAATAGATTGAAAATAATGGTAATAACCGCAGCAAAGTCAAGAAAATAATTAACTTTTATTAAAAAAAAAAACCGTTGATTTGATTACCCCATAAAGACCCTCCTCTGACATTCCGGTTACAAATGGTAATCCAGTTATGGATTATGGTCAGAGGAATTTTCATTTCCTCAGCCCAGAGGTTCTCATCTTGCTATCAGGGGGTTATTTTACTTCATAAACGACACTGAATTCTTCTTGTTGCGTGACGCAGCACAAACAATCGCGTGCTGGCTTGACTTAAGTCGACTCTCCGCCAGCAATCAACAAGCAGATCCAGTTTAACATTTCTTTTCAATTGAACTGTAGACTACGAGTAGTCCCCATTTTTCGTCAGGGATAGTAGAGCGAGCGCAACGCGAGCGCGCGTGAAAATCACGCGTCTCGCCTTTCACGCGTTGGGTGATATTCACGCGCGTTTGCGTTTCGCTCGTTCTACCATCCTTGACGAAAAATGGGGACTACTCGTAGTCTAATAGGCCACTTCTGAGTTTCAAAAACCTTCACGTTCAAAATGGGGCTAGGTGCACAACCTATCTTGTGAAAATGAGTTTTATTTGCATGAGAATGAAAAATGATTTCCATGTCAAAGGCTGAGCACCTACCCTTGTTTTGAAACAAAGGCCCGGGGAAACTCGGAAGTGGCCTATTAAACTATTAGTAACTTTCACTTCAGTTCAACTTCGTTTTTTAGGTCTTCGTTTTCTAGACACCCTACAAAAACGGACAATAAGACGAACGAGGAATCGGACAAAAAACGGACATGAAACTGACAAGAAATTAGACAAGAAATGGGACAAACATTTGGATTAGAATTCCGAAAGTGGAACTCGGACAAAAACCGGACAAGAAGCCCATTATTCTTAATTTTAGTACAACCAGAAGGATATAACCCCGAAGCTTCTTGCTGGGGTTTTGGCGTTTATAAACTTCTACTACAACTAAATATCTTAAACGTCGATAAAACGGCTTCCAAATAGCTCTAGAGGCGAAGAGACAGTAAAACACAAGAAAAAAAATACAAGGTAAGTCATTTAGATTTCTATTTTTGTCAAAAAATGGAATTTAAGACGTATTTTGTTTATTTTCATACATTCTCTTACAAATTGAAAGTCAACGGACTCCCACAGCGTTTGGGCCGCCTGTAAAAAAATCGGACAAGAACTCGGAATAGGCAAAAAAAAAAAACAGCCATAAAGTGGACAAGAAATCGGAAAAGAAATCAGGCATCAAATGGGACAAGAAGTTTGGACATGAAATCGGAGACAAAAACGGAAAAGAAATCAGGCAAGAAAACGGGCAAAAAGTCGGACAAGAAATCGGACATCAAATAGGACGAGAAATAGGTCACGCAATCGAACATGAAATAGGAAGTGAAATCGAACAAGAAATAAGAAGGAAAAAAAAAATCAGACAAGAAATCAAACGGACCTGAAATCGGACAAGAAAATGGAGTAAAAAAAACGCACAAAAAATCGCACAGAGAAAGACAGACAAGAAATCAGAGAAAAATTAGGACCAAACAAAAAATAGGTTTTCCGTTTGTAGGCAACCCTGGTAAGCAAAGACTATAGGGAGCCGTTAGCATACCACGAGGATGACGGTGACGGCCACGAAAACGTTCTGTGAAAAGTGACGTTGCGATCTATGAAACTTCAAAACTCGGTCACTATGTTTTATGTAGGCGAACTCTCCTGGAGTTGAAAAATATCTAAGTTTAAAATTAAGATAATGTTACACGCGACGATTCGCATTGTTGCTTAAGCTCCCTGTTTTATGGAGGACGTGGACATACGACGACGAATTCGCCTTTCTTTTTTTGAACCTGCAGAAATGATTGGTTGCAAACGTTCACTGTTTTATTCAGCGTCCTGTATACAAAATGAAGCGAGTCTTAAATTGCTGAAGTTAATAATGCCAATGGGCATGTAACATCTGCTCGGAAGAGAAGTCACCAATGGCGCCTCACCCCTAAACAATACTAAAACAATTGGAAGAATGACATGTCATTGTTTCCTGCGACCAATTAGGAGAGACCTTCCAAGCAGCACCTACACTGCGCATGCCAATGCTTTGTTCATTGTTTAAGTGCATTTATCTGCTCTAGCCTGTTTGCAGGCACTGCTTTCAAATCATCAGTGGACACATGATGGAGCCCTGTGGGAGACCAAACCAAAGTTCAAAGATTTTGAAATACGGTCGCAGCCCCAACTCTAGCCTCGTAAACACCCCGATAATATGGACACCAGCTAAATCCCAGGCAAAAATGTATTACAAGACCCAGTTGTTGTAAAGCCGATTAGCGCTAAACCACGGATAAATTTTAACCCAGGCCCCAGTTGTTTGAAAGGCCCGATTAGCGTTAACCCAGACCCGGGTTTCTCCATCTTTTGTTTAAAAGCATTTTCTTGGATAATTTTCCCTCTACTTTTAGAGCATCCAATTGTCAATTCCGGCATATTTCGAACTAACCCTGGGTTATCTTAACCCCGCTTTGAACACCCCGGCCACACATTTGGCTGAAATTATAAACTCCCGCCATTACGGACTTTCGCTACTCGAGGTCCTTACAGCGTCCGCTGTCAAGAAAGATGACTAAATCAAAGATGACTCAATCAAAAACTTCCCACAGGCAAGAGGCAAACAGCTGTTACTTGCAAGCGTGACAGAAAACAGCCGCCCCCTCATCGCTCCCCGCCACTAACAAGGTTCTGCAAGCGATCGTGCCCATAAAGAAACATCCCCAGCGGTAGAGTGCTCAGAGGCTGCTGAAAACAAGACGCACTGCCGTACCTCACCTCCCCTCTGCTGTGCATTAGACCTGTACACTTTGTGATGAGATTACAAGACACAGGTAAGAAGAGGAAAGGGTTAGGGAGTTTATTAGGAAAAAAACTAAAGACCTTACGTAATAAGAACGCTCACAAAATGAAGTAAACTTTTTCTGTGCGTCAGCTTTGGAACACAAGTTCTTTTGCTCGCGCGCGGTAAATGTCTATTATGACGTCATTTCAGAGTTGGATCTTTCAGTATGCAGATCTTTCGTTGAATGCTACGTACAGATCAGCAATGAAGGCCGGTCCAGTTATAGGGCCCTTTGTTTTTTCCTTTTATATGTTACAAAGCGTTTTTCAGTATTTCAAAGGAAAATGTAGTGGAAAAAGGTAAGAAAGTATCTTCTTGCTTTTCTTTTGAAGACAAAGAATCCTTTTTACGCGGTTAGAGTTAAAAGCAGTTTCAAGGCCAATTGAGATGAGGCACCTGTTGATCAGTTTCAATAAAAGGATAATGCAACGAGGACAAGCTACTAAAACATTTAAACAGAAGAAGGAGAACTATTCCTGAAGCAGTATTTAGAAACTTGTTTTTTAGGTAAAAAAGATCGTGCAACTTTCGGTAATTTTTTACTTTTTGGTATTTACTGTGTCGGTTTTCGAAAACAAAAAAAATCGTCCATGGTAACCGTTTGTAATAATCTTGGTGCTGACCTAAAGGAACGCAGTGTTTGTGAGAGCCTGCGTTCACTTTGGTCAGCAGCTGAGACGCAGACTCGTTCCCAGTCGTCGAAAGATCGCGCTCCATTCCAAGCCTCCTCGTTTTATTTGGATAGCGCGAACTGACCTGAGGGCGAGGCTAGCTGGGGCGTGAAACAGGAGTGCGCGCGCGTGCTGCCTCACGCAAGCAAATAACTGATAACCGAATTCAATTTTCCAGGGTTTTTACTTTTTCAGTGAGATTACAAGACATTTCTAGTGCATCAAGTTTCGTATTTGAAACTTAAAGCTATTTTAAATGAAATATGATCTGTAGCTAATTGTGTTGTGTTTATTTTTATTATCAGAGAATTTGCGGGTGAACTTGAAATTCAAGAATTAACGGAAAAAGCGCCAGTGAAAATAGAACAGGAAAGTCAAAAAGTAAGCTTAGTTACTGCATGTTATGAACAACCCACTTTAAGTTATTCTTGCAAACAAGTTTTTGTGCCATTCATTGACTCCCTTATTGGATTATTGACTGTGTGTGGGCCTGTCTGCAATGAGGCTGAGAAATATTGAATATTTATGAAGTTTTTGGAACTTGACGGTTTATGTAAACAAATAAAACGGGAAAAAGTGAATAAAATAATTATGAAAGCAGTCGATATCAGTTATAAATCTATTCTCTCCCATTTTGAAGTTTCATTTACAAAACTACACACTTTCAAGTTATATATAGTAAAACGCCAAGTCCTGTTCAATACTCATTTCATAGTCTGATTTATAACTTATTTCATTCATCTTGATTGACTAGTGCCCTGTTAAACGTAGAAGATCAGAAGAGCAGTTAGAGAACATTAAGACAAAGAAACAAAGAAAGTCGATCTCACTGTATAAACTTAAAGCCATCAAGATGATTGGTGAGGGAGCGTTTGGGAAGGTGAGAGACTGTTATAAGGATCAAACAATAATCACAAACGATTCGTAATATTAATTTTCACAAAATTTAGAGTAATTTTCGGCGGATCACTGCGCTACAGCGGCCAGTATCTCGTGGTAAAAAAACTAGCGATTTATCAATTAGGTGATTAATTATTTAGATAAATAATTATCTATTCATTAATTTCTAAGGAAGCTGAAAGGCTTTGTTTTCTTTCGTTTTTGCTAAGTCTAGGCTCTTTTAACTACCAAATAAGCGATCAAAGGTGAATATGATATACACACTGTGTAATTCCTTCTTTCTCCAATAAGTGGATGATATCTGGGGCTGTCTTTCCAGTAAGAAGTAACTTGAAGTTCTTTGATAAAAAGGCCGGTAAGACTGCGCCTATCAACCGCTTCATCTGAAAGTTTGTTCAATTCCAAAATATCTGTCAATCTCTTTATAGGTTCGTCTTTGTGAGGACCGTCGCACCAAGAGACAATACGCGGTAAAGCAGATAATTGAACCTGACCCAAGCAGTGTGGAAGAGAAAGTATTGAGCTTAGCCTCGTCCAGTCCTTTCATAACAAGACTTTGTGAAGAGGTTGAGAACCCGGTATGATACTTTTAAAAATTGTACGAAACATTTTTCCTCCTTGTACCTCCGCGTTAAACTCCCACTCCCGCCCGTCCGCCCAGGTGGAAAAAACGGCCGGCCAATTACATTTAAAGCATATCGACATCTTGACGAACTTGAAGGAAATCAGGGGACTACAAGCCTTCCGAAACATTGTGAATTATACCTGTGCTATGAGGCTTGAGTGAGGCGTTCGTGGTCGATGGGTTAACTCCTCGAACTCTGGATCTGAAGGTCCGAGATTCAAGCCTCGCCAGTCGTGTTGTTTCCCAAGACAAGGAACTTTACTCCACTTTGTCTCTCTTCACCCAGATGTATAAACGGGTGCCAGCGACATACTGCTGGGGGGTAACCTGGCGATGGAACAGCATCCCGTCCAGGGGGGAGAAGCAATACTCCTAGGCTTGCATCATGCTTCGGAAACCGGTATAAACTCCGACGGTATGGGTCTTTGGCTCGTGTACGCCTTTACCTACAACGGCTCCACTGGGCGTTTCTCTCTGTGCCTCATGATCTTTCTCAATTTTGTTCACTATAACGCAAAAGAAAATAGTATGTTATTGGTCAACTAATAGCTTCTTTGTATTTTCATATTATAGTACCCTGGCCATTTCATTATACTAGAGTTCGTTGAAGGAGGAGACCTTTTCACTGAATTGGATGAGAATGGATGGCTCAGCGAAAATCGAACTAGGTAATCGTACTTCCATATCAAAGTTTTCGAGCAACTGTTGAGAAAACAGTCCATATAGTGACAATGAAAGAAAACAGGGACGAATTTAACACATTTGGTCAAGTTTTCCTTTTAAACCGAATACCTACTAACACTTTAGTAAGACACGTTCCATTAGTACTGGCTCGAAATCATCGTAAATTATTCTTGACCCACTCATCTTTTAATAACGACTGGTTCTATCAATTGAGTTCTACCCAATACATGTAACCTTCAAATTAAACCGAGGATGCAAAAACCGGTAAACAAGACAATTCTGTCAAAAAAAGTGATAGAAACTTCACGCCTTCACCTCACATACGCGGACGTATACAAAAAGTGTACCACCTATGGACCAAGCCGATGGACCGCTTCGTGGACCCGGTCCATGGACTACCCCTGTGGACCACGCCTAATTTTCGCACATGCATTTGACCAGAGGTCTAAGCAAATTTTTGGAACCTTAAACGGACGAAAATGTGGTCAGTTTTTATTATCAGTGGTACGGGCTTCTCATATTTTAAACTTGTTTTTTTTGTTTTCAGTTCCATACCAATTGAATATAATGGGTTCGTTTTAGTCTGGTGAAGGAGTCAACATATTTTAGACGAACAGAACTATGGAGGAAGTAGTATGCTACGCAGTTTGTTTCATGTTCCTGTTGTGTGAAAATCGAACCAAAAACAGCTGTGTATGAGACTAAGGATGAAATATTGTTTCTCCTCCCAGGCTTAACCAAACCCATGAATGGAATTCAGGAAAAATTGGAGCAAGTGTATAATATGAGGAACCTTTAATCCTGATAATAAAGACACAGTTTCATCCATTTAAGGTTCCTAAATTTCGTTTAGACCTCTAGCTGCTAAAGATTCAGCTTCAAAAATTAAGGGTGGTCCGCGGGAGTAGTCCATGGACTGGGTCCGCGGAGATGGTCCATGGACCGGGGGTCATGATTTGTATACGTCCATATACGATTAGTCATTCAACAAAGCGTTAGTTACAGTTTCGTTAGGAATCGAACTACGAACTACTAGCTATCAATTGAGGTCATTTAATCTTGCTATTGAGACGTACTTAAAACATTCTATTACTCGTCGTTTTGTTTTAGGTTTTACACTGCTGAGATCATCGCTGGATTGCAGTTTTTACACGAAAAAGGTGTCATTCACAGGTGAGTAGAAATATGTGAAGTACCTGAAATTCACATTTGGTTGGTGATTTCGATCACTCGCGTATTAATATGGCAAAGACAAAAAAAAACAACAACAACAACAATGAATTGATACCGTCGGACCTTTATTTTGCGGCCTCCCAAACGGCCAACAGTTACGTACATCGGGGCGGGCAAAAATTGTCAGCCGTACATCACATGACTGTAAAATGTAGGTAATCGTTTGCTAGATCATTGTCCATCATGACAGGGCGCCTCTCCTCCGCAGAGGCCTCTTTGTATCGTAGGGAGGACTGGAGAGAGAGAAACAGAATGCGCGCGGGGGACAATGGGAAGGGGAAAGAGAGACGAAAGGCCCCGCTTCCTCATTTTCCCTCTTCCCATCGTCCCCCGAGGGCTTTCTATTTTTTCATTATTGCTATTTTTATTGGGATACCCAGCGGAAGCCTTTGCAGAGGAGAGAGTGACAGGGCTCAGCGTTCTGTACAGTTCTTGCATTAGTGAAGAAAGTTAACTTTATAATTATGCGGCTACTTATCCCTTTTCCTCAAAGATTATGTCGCACAACTTTTGGCTCAGTTTACTTGAAAATCAATGTCTTTAATATTTGTGTAAATTTTTATTTATCGTATGACAGGGACTTGAAACCTGAAAACATTTTGCTGACCAAAAATGGGCACATTAAAATCAGTGATTTCGGATTGTCCGCTATCATCGATCCAGTTAAACAGGAGAAGATTAACAACGCAGAAATTATCGGGACACCTCTTTACATGGCTCCTGAGGTAAACAATGGAACTGTAACGTTAGTTAAAGGGGAAATATGGTTAACAGCATTATTTTTCGTTGATTTCCACCCTTTTTCCTAAATATCTAGCCAAGATTTCATTCAATCAAAAAATGACTCAGTTATGTTACAGTCCTTAATTCATAATTATTTGTGAATTTTTGGATGATTTTTCCAATGTTTTTAATGTATAAAATTTCGGTGGAAGATGTTTAAAATTTTGGGAAAATGGGAAAATATTGGATTTTGGGATTGTTAAAACTTAAAATATGAAGTGAATAATTAGTAGACAATTACCAGATAGTACCACAACAAGGTGCCTCTGATCCCATTAGCGGACTAACTGGTACAGCTATTCTACCCTAATCAACATCATTTCCCCAAAAAAACCAACCATAATGCCCCCTTAAGCCCTGTTAACCAAGTGTCTAAATCAGTTTCTCGTATAGCTGCGTGGTCAATACCTTTTTTGTCCCAGATCAGGAGCGGCTCCTGCCCAGATCTAGGACCCATTTGAGAACCACCATCCAAAATATCCCTGGGAAAATTTAACAGGGTTCTAACAAGGACAGCCGAATTATATTCTGTTAGGGTAGTTTCTGCTTTTTACTTACAGAATCAGCGCTGATAATTAACGCTAAAACAAATCTTTATACAGGCTATGAAATATGGGGTTTTCTTGTAAGAGATATATATCTGTTACAGGGTATAACTGTACTTATGTTACCTGCCCTGGAAGAAGGAAGAGCTGCATGTTCAGTTTCCAGAAAAGCTAACAATACGTGACATGATCCACTTATTAAAAAATCACAAACCTCGTAGTAAGATCTTTCGCTTAGGAGAAGCTCCGCTTGTTTTCATGGAATAACATCTTATCGTGCTGATGTTAGCTTAGTGCAAGGTGTTATTTGTTGCAGATTATTTTACTTGACCCATACGACGCATGTGTGGATTGGTGGGTTCTTGGAGTCATGGTGTTTACGATGCTCACTGGAATGGTTTGTATTTGAAATGTTATTTCAATTATTTTGTTCTTAACACGAAAAAGGTGAAACTGAACATAGACGATGATGACGGTAACCTACTTAGTTGACAATGTTATCCTTTGTGTTTACATTTCAGATGCCGTTTGATGCTGAATCTGAGGATGAGCTATTTGATTTGATCGTATATGACTACCCACAGAAACCGGACAAAAAAACAATGTCTGAGCTGTCCATTGACGCCACTGAATTGTTCCTACACGTAAGTGTCAAATACATAAATCATACATGAATGGTTATATTCCCTTATTTTTTTACATGTACCAAAATTATTTATTGTCAGTCGATATCAATAGAGGCCACTCTTCCTGAAAAAATCCAAAGATTGACTCCCTTTCCCCGGGGTAACTGCTCCCCATAACGGATTATACGGGGATTCTCCGCCAGAAAAGGTTACCTTTTTTAGGATTCAGGTATATTGAAGGGTAGAGAAATCTTTTTTATGTTGAATGAGTGAAGAACAAATATGACTAGACTAAAACTAGGTCAACGTTAACTTCCGTTACGGAGTATCATAAAAGCCTAACATTTCAATAAACAAAGGTCTCTGAGTTGAGATTAAATACCGGTATTACAAGACATATCACATTTTTTGGATGTTTTCAGTTACTAGAGAAATATCCACAAGACCGTCTCGGGTACAAAGGAGGCGATTACCCCTGCATCAGAGATCATGCTTTCTTTCACGGCTTTGACTGGAACAGACTGGAGGCATTGGAACTCGACCGCCCACCTTGAAACTAAGGTTTGTTTTCTCAAAATCCTTACACATGGGGAAGTTAACAGAATGGTTAAGAAAGCTCGGGTTTTATCCCTCGGGTTTTACCCGCGTTTTTTCCTTCCGATCCCCGACAATGCAGGGTGTGATGTTGATTTGTCTCAAAAACTCGTCGTCCCTAGGTCTTAAGCTCTTTATTTCACAGGGGCACTTAACCTGACGAAGGTTTCCTCCTACATACATTAAAAACGCTTTTTAGGCTATCCAGGGAGGGCACTTTTGGATCTCTAGAAATGCATTCAAAGAGGTTCTATCAAATTTGTATCTCTTCGGTCATCCTAAGGGAAATTGAATCTTTTTCGAAATTACAAGGCCTTCGGATTAAGTAATTCAAAAAAATTAGATGAAATTTAACATATCAAGAAATTGATAATTTTTGTGACCCTCTCTTCATAACATTTTTGAATCCGAAAGTTTTCGTTTTCCGTTTTCTGCGAAAAATAGCCTAACCTGGCCGGCAGTGAAATGTGAAAAATTGAACTCAGGGAATTTATTAGTTGAGCTTCGGAAATTGTACTTGATTAGAACGGTCATCTAGAAATGTTTATCCGTCTTTAAGTAAGAGAAAATTCTAGGAAATATTTGCTTCTCCGAACAGATAATTTACAGAAAACACTGAGTCGTTTGATATTCCCATAAGCCTTGAAAATCTTCTCAGTGTCGTTTATTTGTTGTGTAGAAAAACCAGTATATAGCAGGCACCATCATTTAGTCGGACAGGACAACCCAAAATTTTTATGTCGTGCCTCATATTTCCTACTATACTGTTGTAATGCCAGGGGTTTTTTAAAACTTACCCTTGTTGTTTTTCTTAAAGGTCTGGAATTATGATCAGTACTGGAAAAAAGACATTTTTACATGATGATCAGTGTTGTGTTTTGTTCTGCAAGAGAACGACGTTTGTAAAATAAAGGCTTTTCACTTTGTGTCCGATAGTCGTTTGTTTCTTTTTTCAGCTCACTTCCCAAGCGTTGTTCCCTAAATGATTCACAACCTTAATGTTTTAAAGCTTTATAAAAATCCAGTTGATGCAAAAAGTACTTTGATTAGAAGCACTTCTATAGCTTGTTTGGAAATGTTTTTTCCTTTCCGATTATTAAAGCCCCCTCGGGTATAAGCCCCTCTGTTTATAATCTTTTATGATTTCTCCTAAAACACCCATCTGACACCCTAAAAGCGACAGTTTCGGTGTGTTCTTCGATTTTACAAGCGAACAGGGTTTGGTCACTTGACGAATCTAAGCTGTGTCAGCTAACGAAACCGCAATTTGAATATGACGAAATTGTGCCTCCAATCTTGAAATCAGCTTGCTGGCAAGAGCTTGAACTTTTCTTAATAAAACCGGCAAGATCCTGAATTTTCAAAATCCTTCCTGCAACACCTTAAGTATGAAATATCTTACCGCCTTGAAATCATGCAGGAAAGATCTTGAAACCCAGACGATCGATTCTGGACGCCATGGATCTCTTGTAACACTCAACTAAGGATAATTAAGTTTTGCGATCAGATTAAGTGGCACCTCAGCAGCAGACATTGCTCTTCGTAAGACATCTCCCTTTACTTTGCACGGTCTTGCTTGGCCCTGGCTGTTTTTTTTTTCCAACGCTTTTCCTTACAACAGTGTGTTTTTAACGCTTTCCTCACATCATTTGTTCGTATGGTATTGGTATTCTTTTCTTTTTAACGTTTTTCCAGCTCGAATTTGTTCGTATAGAGTTTGGTTTTGTCTTTTATTAGAGGAAAAATATCTCCGGGAAGGAAAATGTTAAAAATAGTAAGCTATATATGGTAGTTTAGAAAAGGTGACCACTACCATAGGTAAAACGAGAGGAGAAGATTTTACAATCATGGACGAAATTCTTGGCACAGTTGCACAGTTCTAACGCTTTTAATTTCAACACACGCCAAAAAAACATTAGCGCGCGACTAACATTGCACCTCCTTAGTTCCTCCCCCACCCCACGGACAGTATTGAAACCATTACTGACCCACAATTTCTTTGATCGTCCAACATTGAATTGGGTCAGCACCGCTTTTCCGAACGTTACTTGTGAATCACACAGAACTGCTGAAATGCTTTTACTGTCTCAAGGACATTTGTCCAGGATCATAGATATTTTTTTTTGATACTGAAATCTCAAGCGCAGAAGGGGATAACATGGGTGCATACACATGGGAGGGCTGCAAGGGGAAGCCTGACAACTACATAAATATAAGCAATGCTGCAGTTTAGAGGATATAGGAAGTTGTATGATTGTTTTTGTTTTGCTAATATAAGCCTACTGCTTTTTTGCCGTTCTCGTTGCCGTCGCCGTCGTAGTTGCTTAAGCTCCCTAATAATTGATAGCGTTCGTCAGTTGTGAACCAAAAATCCCGGAGGGTACTTCCTTACATTTGCCTTATAGGTATTGGTCTAGGGTAAGGATTTGGAAAGTCAGACGGCACATCCCCACCACAGATTGCTATGAATACCGCCCCTACCCTCTCCCCAGGGAAAAAATCGAAAGTATTTTATGAACTGGGCTCGTCGCAGGCAGCCCAGTTAATAAAATAAAATGTAAAATTGGTTGACCCTACCAACCTTCATTCAGGAGACAAAAATGACTGCAAAGGACCCTTTTTGCAAATAGACATTGATAACAAAGGTTCCAGCCAATAAACATGCTGTATCGTCTGGCTGTCAGACGGGGTTTGGGGCGCGAGCAAGGGCGAGACACGCGAGTCGAGAGGAAGGAAAAGACAAGAAAGAAATTTGGCTGGAGTGTAGGCTGGGTTTAACGCAAGGATGGCTTGGTTGGGCCATCTTTTCTAGGGTTTTCTGGCTATCACAAAAAGCCGCAAAAAAGGAGGAAGCATTTTCTGCAGGGCCCACCCCCATCCCCCCCCCAACTCCCCTAGCTCTCTGCATTTGCAAACTCGACCCCGGGGGGGGGGGGTACTGCCATATATGGGCTATATAGGTATGTGTCGCTGTGAAGGGTATGGTTTTTAAGCAGTTTACTCCAGGATAGGGTATATAAATCAGAGCGTTTGGGTCTAGAATAGGGTATCATTTTTCAGGAAACTGATCAGTTGGTTGAAGATTTTATCTAGACTAGGGAAACAACTACTCTAGGATAGGGGGGATTTGGGGAGTTTACTCTAGTATAGGGTAGCAAAATTCAGCTGAACTAGCTCTGGTATAGGATAAGGGTTCCAGGGTCCCAGCGGCACATCGACCCAGAAATTCCTAAAGTACCCCCCAACCGGAAACTCGACCAAGCTGCGCGCAACATTTGGCGACCGCGTGTTTATTTCGGTTACTGGGAACACACATAAAATTCAAAGATGGCGCGACGCAGGTCCTTTCCTTGATGTTTTTGTATTTTCCGACTTCAAGGTTTGTAGCCATTATTTTGTATGCTTTAAGAGGAAGATAATTTAATTCAACAGTCTTTTGTTACCCTTTTTTGTTTCTTTTCTTGCTGACGCTTTGATAGGAAGTATTATCCCAACAATTTTCATCGGCACTTATTAATGTGCTTGCCCGTGTACTTGTTACAGTTGCGGTGCATTATAGCATATTGTTTAACCCAACGCTAGTCCAAAGATTATATTTATATGATATATTTTCCCCCAGTAGCATTAAAGTGTTCTAATTTAACAATATTATTGTTAACAGAAATGTTTTCATAAGGGCCTCTAAAGGGTAGGGTTAGGATTAGCCCCGGGGGTAGCCTGCAAATACAGCCGTTTCTCGGTGCTTCTATTTCGCCGCTAGGGACGTTTCGCGGGAGAGACGTCTGTTCCTCAACAACAGAAGTGCCATACTGATGACTTAGGGGGTAATTACATGAGATCCGGACGAACTCAGACTGGTATGAGTTCATATCGGTCTCCATACATTTCTTTCCATGCATTTACAAGAGACTGGCCTAAAAATGAACTCAGACCGGTCTGACTTCATGTTGGTCGCTAACCCGACACGAGTTACTTTTGTGCCGGTCTGAGACTGTACTGTTCTCATGTGAAACAGAAATGTATCTCAGACCGGGTCCATAATAGCATGTTTTTCATATGGCTCCATCATTTTTGCCTTTTCTTAGCAAAATAAAAACACTGCCATGAGTAACTGTTAACAAGACTTGGAAGTAGCTTCAATTGAATATATTCTTCGGTTAATGTGAGGGAATGCACCATTTTGACATGTGCGTTTAACATGCCACCAGATGAGCGTTAGATAATGTTTACAATTTTCTGGAAGCAGGAAAATCTATGGTTCTCTACTTACTCTCT